GGTAAACAATTCTCTGACCTTCATCACTTTAAACTGTATGATAATCTATATTTTTGAGTTGATCTGTAAAATAAGTGATTATTGGTTTAATTCTCCACACTGTTAATACAGCTGACCTGACTAAACTGAATAACAGCCTATGATTAGTTTTAACCGAACAATCCTACGATCCAACTCTGAGATGTTTCACTTTACAAGATTGTTTAAACAACAAAATGTGTCAGACTAGACTACAAACTATTTAATCTCATGTATGTAAAATTTGATTGCTTTGTTTACTGAATTTAGTCCTGCTGTTGTTCACTCAGCCTGCTGAGTTTATAGCTGCACAAACAGCTCCAGCTTAAACATAGATTTACTGTTTACTTTAAACTAGCACTACATGTAGGCATATATGATGTAATACAGCACATTATTACTCCTCTAAAACACTGGATATACTTTTTATTGCAATTAAATATATGAAGCTACAGTGAGAGGAAACGTGCATTCACTTTTTGCAATCGCAAGCTTAATTAGGTATTTTTCTGCTAATTTTAGTGCAATTTTAAATTTTTTATTTTATTAGTTTATTTTATTTGAGTTTAACATATTAAAAAATATATAGAACTCAACATCACTCTTGCACAGGGCTCATTTTATGTGTTTTTCCCCCAATATGTTAAATTCAGCAAATAAACTGTAAAAAACCTGTGTATTAAAACATGCAGAAGTGTGTTCTCTGTAGGGGTTCTTTTAACTTATTTTCACTTAGAAAAATCAACAAAACATGTAATTTGACTAGAGATGCCCAAACTTTTGATTACGACGGTATAGGCGATACCAGTTGATTTTTTTTTATTTTTGTGCAGTATTAATATCGAGAATTGAATGTATGTTATATATTGTTTAAAAATGTCTTTTACTATCAGTTAAATTTTTTTTAATGGAGTTATGACATAACTAAAGGAAAGACCACACCTAAAACTCTTCCTCAATTCCAGCTTCTTATAAAGACCACTCCTCTTTTGTTTTCTCGAGATGAAATTTCACTCCGATCCAGCTTTATGCTACTCACCTGCTATCGTCTCGTCATGGATCTCGACATTGTTGCTTCTGAAAGCCAGCATCTTTCCTCCCTAGAATCCACGCGTCCTGCACCCAGGCTCAAATCCGTCATAACATGCCTGCTGCCTCAGCTTCCTCTGGCTCCTCATCTCACCATGGCAGCTCTTGTACGGCGCGCAGCGGCTCCCGAAGAAGCTGACGTTCCCCAAACGGCTCCCCCGCCTGCTCCAGCCCAGAGCTCCCATTGTTCTCATGGCTCCCACGGCTCTGGCACTTCTGCGCCCTTCCAACTCTAAATTGAGATCTCCCTCTATCTCTGATTGGACTGTGGCTAAACTGCAGAAAGTCCTTAAGGAAGGGCGAAATTCCTTTCGAAAAGAGGCAACTCTTTTCTCCCTGTATGTGCAGTCTCTCGGGAATAAATGACGCCTGCCTTCTGCTGCTCTAGTGCAGCCTGACCACGTCGCCTTCCCCACGCGTGATCACCGACTCCCCAGACACCTCCTCTGGAGAAATGGCATCCTCTGCTGGATGTCCCGGTCCTGCTCCCAGGCAGCTTGCCTCTGCTGCTGGCCCAGCCAACACTTTGTTTGCCCCATTGCATGCCTTGCTTCTTCTGTTTTTTCTGGATTCTCTCCCTCTATTTTTTCCCAGCCTTTTTCTGCCCTACCTTTGGCTATGCCTCTTTCTTCTTCTTCTCCTCCTCAGCTTCTTCCTTTATCATCCCAGCCCCTTCTTTTATCATCCCTCCCCACTCCCTCATCATCCCAGCCCCTCCCCTTTTTCTTCATACCATTTCCTCAGTCTTTCCTGGCATTCCCTTCTTGCTCATTTTCTCATCCTGTTCCAGGCCTCCGGTTGCAGTCACTGCTAGCTCAGCCACGGCCCCACCTCACCCCCTCTACACTGCTCCTCCTGCTGTCCCGCCCAGTGATGCTCACCTCTTCAAACTGCCTCTCGTCTCTTCCATCCTGCGTATGCGGATCCTCCAAGGTGCGGACGTCAGTCTCCCCTCATTGCTTCACCTGTCAGCTGCCTCTGGTGCTCCCTGCACCATTGATATCGGCAACATTTCTCTGTTCGGCCTACCTATTCAGGCGTCCGGAGCTAGATGACCATCTTTCCATCGTCTTGGACCTCGCCGTTCGATTTGGAGGGTTGGGTTTCTATGATTACCACTGTCTGTTCTCAGCCCGCACAGCAGCCCGTCTTCAGCAGTGGAACATTTCTACATAGTAGGGCTCCCTGGATCTTTAGCTCTACTGTCGCGTATTCGCTGGTCGGACTGCTCCACCCTCTCCCACTCCCCACCCTGCTGTACCTTCTGCTCCCACTGTGGCCCCCGCCCTTATCTTTATGACTTCCAGTTCCTGCGACAGCCGTGGGCGGTGTCTTCTTTTCTTTGGGGGCTGGATGGTCTGTAATAATTTCAACTCCGCTGGATGTTTTATGTTTTTTTTTTTCTTCATGCAAGTTGCTCCATGTCTGTTCTCATTGTGGCCAAGCTCATTCCAGATCTGGATGCCCTCATTGCCCTCCTAAGTTTGGGCCCAAATGACTACTCCAGCATCTTTCTACCCCTGTCAGTGTCTCTGCTCTCGCTGCTGACCTCTCCCTCCGTTCTGATCATTCCTTTATCTCTTATTTGCTAGATGGCCTTATCTTCAGCTTTTCTCCAGGACTCATTGTGCTTCCTGCCTCTTCCCTTTCATGTCACAACCTCCTTTCCACTCTGTCTGAGCCTGATGTCGGGTCTTCCCTTTTGGCCAAAGAAGTTTAAGAAGGTTTCATGATTGGCCCTTTCACTTCTCCTCGCTTCTCCACTTATCATGTCAATCGTATCAGCATTGTCACTTGTAAATACTCTGGCAAGAAACGCCTCATCATCAATTTGTCTGCCCCTCATGGCTCCTCAGAACCATCCATCAACAGCCTCGTGCCAAGCTCTGATTTCTCTATCCACTATGCTACCGTGGATAATGCTATGTTGCTCATCAAACAGGCTGGCCATGGAGCTTGACTTGCCAAGGCTGACATCATCTCTAATTTTGAGATCCTTCCTCTGCACCCCAACTTTTGGCATCTGTTTGGAGTTTCCTGGGAAGGCAGGAGCAGCCCCAAAATTTTTGACACCCTGGCTGAAGCCTTGTGTTGGATCCTGCTGAACATTTGCAGACTACCCTACGTGCTCCACCTACTTGATGACTTCCTTGTGGTGGTCTCCCCTTCCTCTCCACTTGTGTATGGCCTTTGTACCCTCTCCTCTGCATTTCAGCGTCTCAGTATCCCCTTCTCTCCTGAGAAGACAATGGGCCCATCTAGTTCCTTGGCATTCAGCTAGACTCAGTCTTGTTCCAGGCTTCCCTTCCACCCGATAAACTGGAATGCCTTACTACCACCCTATCAGAATTTGTGCTGCAGCCCCGTTGCTCGAAGCTCCAGCTCCTCTCTCTTCTTGGGCATCTCAATTATGTAATTCAAATAATACCTCAATGATGCTCTTTTATCTCCCACCTCCTCAGCATTGCCTCCTTGGTTCGCACACTCCAACACTGCCTCTCCTTGGATGAATGCATGTATCTCGGAACTCAGCTTCTGGCTCTTCCACCTGCAGCACTGGAAAGGCATCTCTTTCTTCTATGAAGACGCTATCTTAGTCCCTGAAGATCTGTAACTATTCACCAATGCAACTCCCTCGATAGGCTTCAGCAGCTTCTATGGTGGCCACTGGTTCGCTTCTTTTAGGCCTTCGGAGTTTGCTTTGCTTTCCCTTGAATCAGGCGATCCCTCTGCCTTGTGGGAATACTACCCGGTCATCATTGCTGCACTCCTTTGGGGACATAAATGGACAAGATGAGTGATCCTCATCCACTCCGACAACTTTGCAGTTGTTCATATAATCAACAAAGGACAATTCTTAATCCCTAACACTCATGCCATTCCTACGTCACCTAACTTGGCACTCAATCCAACAATCAATTCATTCTTCAAGCCATTCACATCCCAGGCCATTCGAATGCTATTGCTGACTCTCTCTCACGGTTTCAATTTTAGAAATTCAAAGCCTTAGCACCTCAAGCATCTTATGCCGACTCCTCCATATTCAGAGTCCATCCTCCAACTGACCAGCAGTTCTTTCAGCTCCTCCTCTAAGCTCAAGAAACAATCTTAAGTGTGGGTGCCCCTTGCACCCTGTCAACCTATTGGTCTGGATGGAAATCTTTCCAGTGTTTTCACGCACTCCACACCACCATTCCCTTCAGACAATCTTTCAATGACAGCGGCTTTCCTCACATTTACCAGTTCACTTCTAGCCATTCACTCTTCTACCTTAAGTGTCTATTTAGCTGGGATCACCACCATGGCTAATCATCTCAGTTCATACTTTTACTAAAAGGAATCCAAAGAAACGAACCTCGCCTTCCACCACTTTAGCTGCACTTAACCTCTGACATCCTCCAACACTGCATTCAGACACTCCGTGCTGGTCTCTTCCCCAAAGATTTATCCGCTACATTAGAAGCCCTTTTTCTCCTTGCATTCTTCGGATTCCTGAGATGTTCAGAATATACAGCTCAAACAGAAACCTTCAAACCTGCTCATCCCTGCTTATCAGATCTAACCATGTTAAACTCAGACACTATGATCTATAATATCAAAGCAAAACAAACCAAATTTGGTAAAAGCATTCCTCTGTACTTGTTTAAAATCAACTCTTATCTCAGCCCATATGAACCTCTGGCACAGCTACTCCAGCAATCAGACCCACTCTTCATCACAGAAACAAGCTCTGTGGTCTCCCGTTGCTGGTTCCACAAACTCTAAAACACCTAGTTCTCTCATTATCCAGTTACCCTCCAGAGCGATTTTTTTGCTCATTCTTTCAGAATAAGAGCAGCTTCTTCTGCTACTCGCCAAGGGCTCCCCGATCACACGGTTCAACTGCTCGGATGATGGCCTTTGCAAGCTTACGAACTCAAATCCAAGACCTCTGGCAAGCTTGCGGCTATGGCTGGCCTCCTTCTAATCTGGAGTTTTTGGGGGTCGGCCTTCTCATGACCCACAGAAACCGTACTGAACTCCAGCCCAAAATTCCTGAGTTCCCCTCCTCTCATTTACCAAGGTGTGGTCTGCATTTGCAAAACATCTTTGTTTATGCTTGGGATTACATATTTTTCTTTATATTTATACATAGAGTCAAATAATGTGTGAAGTTGAAGTGGATATATAAACTAGAACTACACTTAATTTTAAAAACAAAAGTGTCTAAATACATTTGCCCTCTTTGTATAAATTAAATTATAAAACCTCTATACCGTATATTTGTCATTAACATGCCACACTGTAACAAAGTATGAAAAGGCAATCACGATAAAACATTTCTAATATTTTCTAATCTGTCTCTCTCTCTATAGTGTCCATTGATGTGTTTGGACTTTTTGGAAGTTCTGTTCAACTGGACATACAGCATCCTGTCCCAGAGTTTCATGGCTTATTCTGGGTTTTTAACAGAGCTTATAATGTTCTAAAATATAATAAGAAATATAAAGATAGTACACTCTATTCCCATTACAAAAGCAGAGTGGAGTTCAATGAGGAAACCTACAGTCTGACACTGAAGAACTTACAGAAGAATGATAGTGGACTGTATGAAGCAAAAGCATCTGGTAATAAAGTCAGAGTTGTTGCTGAGTACAGACTCTCTGTGTTGGGTAAGTCTTATAGAAAATCAGTCAGTGAAAATAAACATGCAGTCCTGACACAACACTGCTGTTATTAAGATGCTGTACTTTTATCTGTTTTTAATTTAACCACGCGCAAAATCTTTTTTTTCTCTGTTTCTTCATCATCTGGGGTTTCCTCATCCTCGCACATATTTCCCTTGATTCATGGTCATTTTACTTTTGCTCAGTGGAGTTTGAACCTCAAAGAGAAAGATTAAGTTAGTGAAACCAATGTTTAGTTAAAGTGAGCTCTTTTGTGTCTTGTTTTGTTTTGTTTTTATTTTTCCGTTCAGCTCTGCAGATGTGTGATTAACAGCTTCTTGCTGGTGCATGTAAGTGTTCTTGTGTGAAAGGCTAGTTTCCTCCTTGTGCGGCCACTGAACCACAAATCTGCTCATCTATATCTTAACTTACATTAACACCAACTATGTCTGTTAAGAATATGTATTTTATTACTATTATTTGTTTATATTTGCTCACATCTTTGAGCTCTCATCAAGTCAAATATAGGCAAGGTCTGTGCCTGGAATTCAATTGAGCCTATATCCTGGCCCATAAAAGTAAAAGGGACCCAAGTCCAACATTTAGACACACTTTTAGTATAAATTTAATAGCAAAAAACATATTAAATAATTTAGTAAATGCATCTTGTTTGGTATTATCTCACTAACTCTGCACACATTGGCTGTTTTCCAGTTGTAAAGTAAGAGGTTAATAAAGACTGGGCTGTAATGAGAAATTGAACTTTGCTGGTAGTTGCTCAGCACCACCACACATTGACACCAAATGTCTGCAACAATCTGGACACCATCATAAAAAAACAACTCGTTTTACTTTCAGGTGAGGCATGTTGTGGCGTTCCCAATGTGCAGCAGCATTAAATGTAAAAAGAATTTAGACTGATACAAAATCAAAAATGAAGAACTCTGTCTATGCTAGTGGAAAAAAAAACAAAAACACTAGAGGCAAACCTCAACAGAGAGAGAAAGAATATTAAATCCATAGCATCAGTTATCAATTAAAATGCACATCTTCCTCTGAGTCCCTCCCTGATACTGTATTTCATACAGAAATAGTCACAGTACAGTGTGGGGGTCCACACTTCAGTTCCTCATTTTCATGTCTTACAAAATGTACAAATTAGTTTCTTGGTAAATCACTGAATGATTCATAGCAGTTACACAGTACATCATAGTAACATAGTAGTTACAAAGTAGTAAAACAGCAGTTACATAGTAGTGAAGTAGCAATTACATAGTAGTTGTTGATTCAGCTTAAGTAATCACTGAACTGCAGGCTTTTTAACACAGTGTGTTGAGAAACAGACATGAAATTAAAACATCTGTTTAGTAATGCTAGTAAAAAAAACCCACGGAGGTAAACTTCACAGAAATGTGCATCTGTAGGCCTGAGTGTCACCTCATGCTCAGACTTTCCACTAGGGGATTCCCCAAGGCCTCTGCCCAAATGTGAACCCAGGAGGGCACTAAATTGTGTTCAAGTACATTCTAAAACTAGAAACTTACTCATTAATTGAATTTACTCATTTTTTGTATTTTTTTACTCAATGTATTTAAAGAAATAGCTTTAAAAGACTGTATTCCAAGCATTAAATAAGCCAAAGTCAATCGAGTCAAAAAAAAAAAGAGAATGAATTGTGTTTTTAAGTCTCTTGGGATGTCCACCTGCTATCATGAGACAGACACCCAAATTAAGTCTTAAAGTGAATATATCCCACATTACTGAAATATTTTGAGTTAGAGGAACTTTTTTGCTAATTTCATGTACATTCTCTATTGCTGGGTGTGCTTTGAAAGATAAGTTGCACGAGCATCAGTTAAACAAACAACTACTAAATCAGTTTAAATGAGTTGAGTTCAATTTCATAAATTTAATTACATTATAATGGTTCAACAAAATTCCCTTTTAATTGTATGGAAATCTTTTCACAGTTCAGTTAAGTTTGGGCGAAGAACTGAGAGGAAAAGCATCAGAGATGCAACATTTCTACATAATTCATAATTAGTGTTTGTGACATGATCAAGTAATTCAGAGGGACATCCTCAAATATTTTATTTCATGCACGTCGCTTTACTTTTGGTCAGTGGAGTCTGTTAGTGAAACCAAAACTGAGTTTTGTTTTGTTTTCTGTTCAGTTCTGCAAATTTATGATTAACTGCTTCTTGCTGGTACATGTGGGTGTTGTGTGAAAGGCTAGTTTCCTCCTTATGCAGACACATGTTCTGTACTGAACCTCAAATCATATGCAACATTTCTGCATAATTCATTATTAAAAGTTGTGATGTAAACAAAGTCCTGCAGATGGTTTGATGTGAAATGCTTCATTATGAATCACTTACTGACTCTGACTTCTTTACAGTGGTGCTGATAGGAACCAGGGGTCAGAATATCTACAACACTAATATAGCCATTTGATTTACTATCCAAAACCACCAGTGAGCTTCTGAGTTTTTATATGTGATGTTTACGACAGTCAAATAATAAAATGAATCATCATCAACTTCACATATGAAATAATAAAATGAGAAAAAATATGTTTTCTTTAAGGAACATTTGACAACACCCTGCATGTACCTTCCCACCATGAAACATGAACTATGTTTTAGGCCAAAACATCTCGGGCATTAAGCAGTGCATTCATAACTATGTAATGTAATAGATTTCTGTGAAGAGGCTTTTAGAGTCATTAAACTATTCAGACGTCTGGTTCCCATCACCACCACTGTGAACAAGTCTGACTGAGTTTCTCTACAATGAACCAGTTCACATTAAACCACTCTGAATGACTGTTCTTACATCATCACCAATTCATTATGCTACAATTTAGAAGAAATTGTGTAATTCATATTTAACCCTTCTTTGCCAAATGAAGGCTAAAGCAGAGCGCTAATAGCAGGTTTTACAGTGATCTGGCTGGGTTTGGAGCTGTATTTCTGGTTTTTGTGATGTTAGAGCTGGTCTCTCTCACTCTGGCTAGTGATGGCAGGATCCTCTGAGTGATCTGATGTCACTATTTTTAACCCTTTGTTTATAATATGAAAGCTAAAAGCAGAAATGTAGTATAACAGTAGAGAGTGGGGTTTGGGTGAATTTGGAGCTGGATTTCTGATGGTCACAGGTGGATGAAAGAGTCTGATGAGTGATCTGATGTGTGAATCATGTCACTGTTTTAACGCTTTGTTGGAATCTGAAGGGTAAAAAGCAGGGCAACAGTATCAGAATTGATTGGGTAATTTGGGGTAATTTTCCAAGCCGAATTACTCACTGCTGATGACGACGTCACCCTAGTTAGGGGTGGGTCTTAATGTCCTGATATGTGGATCATGTCTGTAGCTTAGACCATTCTGAAGATATGAATACTAGAAGTGACCTATAATTTTGCCCGCAAATTGCAGTCTCCGGGTTAAAAAGCTAAAATTAAATTTAACATCTGTCAAAAATGTAAGTGCTAAAATGTAAACTTTTTTTTCTACTTTCACCTTAAGATTTTAGGCCACCGCATTGTAGAGTGTTTTATGAACAGAATTATTTGGTCTGATTTCAGGGGAATTCCACTGATTTATAAAACTTTCTGCATGATTCAATTGTTGAGATGTAAACAAAGTAATTCAGAGTGGTTTAATGTGAAATTGTAACAGTGGATGGCTCACCAGACTAAGGATGAAAACCCAGGCTGTCTGAGTTATATTCCAGGGCCTACCTGGTGAGCCACCACAGGTTTTAGGGACACAGGACCCAAGTGCCAAGCTTATGTACAGCAGATGGATGGGCTGAACTAAAGAACTTCAGCACCTGTTCAGTCCAGGGATCGAACCCAGGCCCTTCTGGTGCTGCTCGTATGCTCTACCGCTACATCACCACAACCATGGTGTAGACTACTGAAAGGAGCGCCCTTATATGTGATTGCCTGAAAACAAATTTGTAAAGCAACCTGTTTTTGTCAGGTAGGAAAAAAACAAAGGATGCCAGGGTAAAACTTCTCAGAATTCGAGAGACAATTAAGTAACTGAAAAAAGACAAATGACTTTCCCAACAGAAACAGAACAAAAACAGAACAGAAAGAAGGTTTTTTGTTTTTGTTTTTTTTTTCATGAGAACAGAGAAGGAAACCTCGAGGGGAGGCTGGAGAAACTTGAAAGGTGAGGGGGAGTGCAAAACTCTCAGCCCTCTTACCAAAATTACCAGCCGTTTCTGTTGGCTCACAAAGAGACAAAGACACAACAATGTGTGTCTTCTTCTCTGCGCTTATAAAGTCCTCTGCCCAGGTGTAGGACGTTAGGCTGGATTGGACCTGGGAGGTGTGCGTCGTCTCCCTCTGGTGGCCGGGAGCGCCGCAGCCCTGGAGCCACTCCTTACAGAAATGCTTCATTATACACAAAAAACTTACTAACTTTCTTTTCCGTGTTAATGAAACCAGGAATACCAATGTCTACAATGCAACTATAGCTATTTTATCTGATATCTAAAATGGCAAGTGAACCCACACGTGTTCACTGCAATTAAAATCATTACTGAGAACCAGGTCAGTATAATATCTTCTGACTTCTTTGTTTGTTTGGCTTCTGATTTTAATTTTAACATTCAAGAAATCAAAGTTTAGTTTTGACCCTCACTGAAAACGGAAACTTCTAAGCATGGATGCTACTGTCTGATGTCTATTATCAACACCATCACCAGCGTCCAGATAGATCTAGGCTACTTTGAAAGACACTGACCAGTTCTGAAAGACTTTTACTGATCTGTGATCTGTGATGAGTGATTTATCACTGACTAACCGTCAGCATTACAGTGATGGGTCTGTATATCTTCTACCTCAGATCCAGTGGAGGCTCCAGTCCTGACTCACCAGCTAAGCAGAGACACCTGCAACATCACTCTCACCTGTAGAGGTCATAACCTCTCTATCAACTCCAGCTGTTACAAGGAAACCTGTGAGGAGAAGGAAGTGACATCACCTGGAGGTGTCCCCCTTTCCCTGTCTGTCAGTGGCAGCACCATCATCTGTAACCATAGCAACCCAGTCAGCTGGAAGACGAATGTTTTGGAGATGAGAGAACTTAAACGACTCTGTGCTGATGAAGGTGAAGGTGTGAACACAGATACACACAGACACTGCCTCTAAAATCATCTTTACTATACACCCAATTAATGAAGTAACATGATCTGCCTACTGTAGGTTTAACATGATGAAAAAAGCAGTAAATGCATTAATTGAAACAGTCGTGGGTCTCAGCTGCTGCTCTTCTGTGTTGTTGAGAGACTCAGCATCTTCCTCCTGATCACATTTCATTGCAGACAGTGTGTCCATCTTGATTATCAGAAGTTTTTAGAGGAGGCTGATAAAATTACACTAAAATAAATTTATTGAACTTGTGTTAATGAGCCATTGTCAGCAATTCACTGGCCACCAGAGGTCTCCCTCTCCTGAGTACTAGCCCTGTTCCCAAAATCAAGCCACCCGTACCTTTTTATCCCAAATCATTCACACCTTAAATACTGCTCCCATTCAGCCAGTCTGTGTGAAGTATTGCCAGTTCTTTCGAGTCTGACTATTGAGTTTTTGTCTGTCTTTCTGGTATTTTGAACCTCTGCTTTTGCTTTGTGTCCCTTTGGCTCTGTCTGCCTGGCCTTTTGGGCTGATTTCTCTGTTACAACTTTTTTTGCTTTGCCTTTTTTTACCATGAGTTCTGGACTGGCCTGTTGTTAATAAATCTGCACATGGATTCTTCACAAGTTTCTGAGTCTGCTTCCTCACAGCCATTTACACTGGATGTCAGTTGTCTATTCAAATAAAAGTAGCACTGCATTCTCTCCACTAGTGTAATATTTAACGTGCCTGTATATTTACACTTGTATGCAAAAGTTTGGCTGCTCCAGTGTGTGCATTCTCAAAAGTGCACTCTCAGGAAAAAGTTAGTAAACTGTCACTGGGGCAGTAGCCCTCTTGTCACTGGGGTGGTACCCTCAAGGGCACATATCAGTACCTTTGATCAGGGAAGATAATTCATTCTTCTAAGGTGTGTTGACTCCACACACCCCATCTCGTCTCCAGGCTGGGAAAAAACTTTGCATAAGACTGTATGTTAAATTTATGATTTTTAAAAGATTTTACTTTGAAAATGACAGAAATATGATATTTTAACTGAACATAATAGAGAATTAACTGAAGAGTGAAACACGTTATTTAGTTACTTATTTTGTTAGTTTGTTATTTCTTTCTGGTCATCATATTTAACACAACAGTGGGTTTTGCTGTGTGTGTTTCAGGTTCAGTGTCTCCTTCTGCTGGTGTATCTGTGTGTTTTCTGAAGACTGTGCTGTATTCCATCACTCTGACTCTCATGCTGTCTGCAGTCATCATTGTCCACATCAGAGAAAGACTGACCAAATCATATTAAAGACATGGACGGTGTTACATAGTTAATTATATCTGTTATGGTTACAAAGCACTTTATTCTGTAATCTCTGATTATAATCTACTCTACTGTATAGTTGTACCTGATTAACTGTTCTCTCATACTAGTATGTCACTTTTTTGCAAGCTGTACAGACCTCTAGCATCATTGTTGCACCTTCTCAGAAGTCAACTGACTGAATGCACTAGAACACTGTATCTTGTGTAAGTAAATGTTTTTTTAGATGTTTTTAAATGCATTTGTAAAAACTGTTTATGCATATATTAACAAAAATCACTAAAGATATTCTGCTCTATTCTGATCTGTTTATCAGTGCTTTTTTGTTGGTGAACACTGCATGATACGATATGTCAAAATAGAAGCACAGAGCAGACAGAGACACTAACCACTGAGGAAAACCAACAGGAACTGATAAGCATAAAAAACCTCAATGTCTACCAGGCACACATTAAAAACATTTGAAGACACAATGATGCTTTACAGTTTGACTACTTAGGTAATAAATCACTAAAGTTGATTATTTCTATAGAAATAGACTTTGTAAAACGTGTTGTTACCAGTCTTAATGTGCTCAGTGTTGTTAAATTAAAGTGGTAGAGAGGGGAATTTATAGGGTGTAGAATGAAGAATAAGAAAGAATTTCAGACGTGCTCTTTCACACAAACAAATTCTTATATTCCTGTTTCTTTTCACCTTGTAAGATTGTAAGAACAGCAAAATGTGTCAAACTACACTACACACTGTTGAATGCAGTAGGGAACCATGATTCTTAAACCTCTGCGCTCTGTCTGCCGCATGTCTGCAAAAAATAGCCTAGTTCACTGTGTCCCCTCCTAAAGTACTGCAAAAGTTAGGAAACAAAAATTAAGACGATAGTTCAGCCATAGAAATGCAACGAGCAAATAGCACAGACAGGGTTAGCACCTAAACAAAATCGCTAATTTCTTTGGCAAAATGCAAATCCTCCTTCCAAATAATCCAATCATCATACAAGCTGTATATGCTCTTCAGAAAATGCATGACAGTCACCGCCTCCTACCACACATATTACACACGAGCTTTCACATTACGACAGCGCGCACACTGCCAAGCAGCCATGAGGGTCAGATACATCAGCGTCAGAAAAATGACCACTAATTCCACCTAATAGCCGTTTTTCCAAATTAACCTTCACATTACACAAACAGTGTCAGCGATGCCAGAATAAAATCAGCAGCTACGGCGACCGGTAAGATTTTAAATAACTTATCCTTTGATCAGAGCATTACTTGAGAGTGAAGTCTTAACTTAATGAAGTCCATCCTCCTGTCCATTTGGATGAAGTGGCTGATGGTGGGGTCATGCAACTGATCCTTTGGTTTTAAATTAATCAACAATTGCCTCTCTAGCATTCTGATGGTGATGGGCTGACTTGGATGAATCCCAAAGTCCATCTCTGTCCCAAGACCCCCTCTCCACGCCAAACAGCAAGCAGTCCCAGCAGTATAGGTTTTGCTCCTTGGTCATTCATGTCACCCAGGGGTATCATGGTGTAATTGCTGGAGTTGAAATGCCTCTCAAAAGCTATGGTGTAGGTTGTGCTTTGTAAATTAACTCCAACTTTTCATTAAGAGATAATCAAGCAAGCAAGCAAAGTTTATTTATATAGCACTTTTTACAACAGGCGTTGTCACAAAGCAGCTTTACAGAAAAATCCTGGTCCGAGCCCCCATGAGCGTCGCCAGTGGCGACAGTGGCAAGGAAAAACTCCCTAAGAGCAAGAGGAAGAAACCTTGAGAGGAACCAAGACTCAAAAGGGGAACCCGTCCTCCTCTGGTCGACATGGTCGACATCTGGTCGACGTTATAGTGCAAAACGGGGAAAAAATGTGGAGCAATGTTTAATTAGATTAGTTTTAGTTTATGCAGCAGCAGCAGCATCATGGGGAGGGTCAGTTCATGAGGGTGAGTTTTGCACAGGGTTGTACAGCAAGAAGCTCAATGGTGGTCAAGCCGGTCCAGAGGGCTGGTGAGCAGTGTGCACCCGATTAAGGCAGAAGAAGCAACAGCATCAGACGCACAGGATGGGCAGCTGTTCAATTCGGCAAAGAAAGGAAAACACACAGAGTTAGTTCTGTAAAGAGTGACTGATCACAGATTACAGTATTAACAGAGCAACAGACTCTGGCAGGTCTAGAAATCTAGAAAACGGTATGGATAATAAACTCGCAGTGATGTCCTACTCACTAGCAGTAACGTTACTCTCAGCTTCCATCATGAGCCAACAAGCTAGCTAGCTTTTTTCACTAGCTTCATCTCCCCACAGCGGCCCGAACTTGTCATAAAGTTAACGATAACTAAGCCCACCCATTTAGAGGGAAGACTTTATTGGTCAATTTTGCTGTCATTTGAAAGTGGTCCCTCACTGAATTACTAGTTCTTGGCCCTCTGTAAATTTATAGCTGGACCACCAATCACCAACAGTCTTTCCAGCAACAGCAGATATAAAATTCTGATAAGGAGACAAAAGGCCTTCTTTGACTCATCACATTCCAGTGCAAATTGAATAGGCAGGTTTGAATGATTTATTTGATTAGATTTGTATTTGTTTAGATGTTGATTGTCAAAATATGATCAGATAAAACTAGAACTGCTCAATTTTATAATATTTTTATACAATTATTTATTACACATATTATTATTGATAATATTATTTTTAGAATATCTTAGGTCCCTTTCTGAGGGCATAGAGGGCCATGATGGTTCCCCTCTGGTTGAATGTCATTGATGGTATGTATTTTTTGACACCTTTGTTTACTGAATTCAGGCCTCCTGCTCTATTTGTACTTTTTCATCTCTCTTGTTACTGCCTATCATCCTGCTGTGACTCATTTTGTTGTCTGTTTCTTCATCATCTGATCTTCCTCATCCTCTCAGACATTTGATTTTATTCTCTGTCATTTTCTTATCTGTTAAACTCTCTCGTTTGATGGTCACTTTCTTTTCGCTTTTGGACATCAAAGAGAAAGAGTGAGTTAGTGAAACTACTTTTGTGGGTTTTTTTACCTGTTCAGTGCTGCTGATTTGTGATTAACTGTTTCTTGTCAAGTATCAAGTTTATTTGTCATTTGCACAACATTTGTCATTTGACATTCATGCATTGAAATGCTTGTGGTGAGGCTCAGCTAATCACTCTACAGAAAGTAAACAGTAAAAAATACAAAGGAAAATACTCAAAACTGAAATAAATGAAATATACACAAAATATACACAAAATATAGAGACAGAAGGGACCTATGTAAGAAAAAAAGCTCATTGCTATGTACATATATATTTATATTAAACAAGGGATAATCTGTGAAGAATATATTTACATTTTAACTTAGTGACTTGTTATTGTCTATAGCTGTGATATGATATAATAATAATACTGACAAAGTGACTGAGTGAAATGGTAGTTGGGGAAGGACCCACAGCTTCACAGCTTGTTCAGAAGCCGGACAGCCTGTGGGTAGAAATTTTTCATTAAGCGGGTCGTTCTAGCCTGTATGCTTTTGAATCTCCTGCCTGATGGCAGGATGGTGAACAGGCCGTCTGTTGGGTGACGCTGTCTGATCGGCTGGTAGTTTGTTGCCTATGATGGATACCAGACAGTGATGCAGCCTGTGAGGATGCTCTTTATGGGGCGTCTGTAGAATTTGGTGAGGATCTGAGGAGGCAGACCAAACTTCCTGAGCCTACACAGGAAGAAGACATGCTGACAAGCAGATCTCACAGTAGTGTTGGTGTGGAGGGACCAAGTGAGGTCATCAGTGAGGTGTACACTGAGGAACTTCACACTGCTAACTCTCTCCACTTCGGCTCCATTGATGAACAGGGGAGAGTGACCACCCCTCTGCAGCTTCCTGTAGTCCACAATCTTCTCCTTTGTTTTGCTGATGTTGAGACAGAGATTGCTGCCATGGGACAGAGCGCTAACCTCATCTCTGTAGGCTATTTCATCTCCATCAGTGATGAGGCCTAGGATGGTGGTGTCATCAGCAAACTTGAAGATGATGTTAGATGTGTGTCTGGCTACATGGTCATGTGTATACAGGGAGTACAAGAGGGGGCTGAGTAGACATCCCTGGGGGGTCCCTGTGCTCAGAGTCAGTGTAGAAGAGAAGCTGTTCCCAACTTTCACCACCAGGGGTCTGCTCGTCAGGAAGTCCAGTATCCAGTTGCAGAGATGAGAGTTCAAACCCAAGTCTGTGAGCTTAGGAATGAGTTTGACAGGGATGATTGTGTTGAATGCTGAGCTGTAATCTATGAACACCATTCTTACATATGTGTTCTTTCTGTCTAGGTGTGTGAGGGCAGTGTGTATTGTTAGTGCAATGGCATCATCTGTAGATCTTTTGGAGGGGTATGCAAACTGTGGACACCATCGGGACCAGGTGCCTTGCGTAGGTTAACTGCCCTGAAGGATCTCACCACCTCAGACAGGGGAATGGCTAGAGTGCAGCTCTTCTCATCTACTGGGGGTTTTTCAGCAGGTGAGGTGTTAGTTACCTCAAAACGAGTATAATTTTCATTTAGTTCATCTGCAAGTGAGGAGGACGAGCCCCTATCACAGATTGTACCTCCTTCGTAATCCGTGATGGCACGCAGTTCACTCCACATACGTCTGATATCAGAACCAAGATAGATAGATTCCACTATGTTCCTGCAGCTCCTTTTGACCAGCCTGAGGGTCCTCTGAAGGTCATATCTGGCCTTCTTGTAGCTAGCCAGGTCACCAGAGTTGTAGGCAGCAGCCCAAGCTCTTAGTTTGGCTCGAACCTCAGCATTGATTCAGAGTTTCTGGTTGGGAAATGTTCTGCCATTGATTTTTGGTACAGTGTCATCAGTGCATTTATTAATGTAGCTTGTAATGGAGTCAGTGTATTCATTGATGCCTGGACCAGCTGCACCACAGAACATCTTCCAGTCTGTGGATTCGAAGCAGTCCTGAAGTGTGAAGAT